CCGATATATATCCACTCATACCTACCCATATACCACCCACACCCTTATCTACCACCCATGTATATCCACTCGTAGCTACCCATATACCATCCACACCCATATCTACCGCCCATGTATATCCACTCGTACCTACCCATATGCCATCCACACCCTTACCTACACCTACACAATCGCTGCAGTTCGCTCTTCCCTGAACACCGTGCGCTTGACATTGAGATCTTTGAGAAACGGCGCGTGAGCAAAGACTCACGCGTAGCCACGGGACAGATCAACCTCACACGCGTCTACGGCCAATGCTGCAAAAGGTAGGTAGATGTTCTATTTTTAGCACCAGGGATATGTGATATGAGGCTATGTATAGCATCCAATAAGATGGTTGTGTTCTATTTATAGTACTATTAGACTCGCGCGTGGCAAGGGACATAATAACCTCACGCGCGTCTACGGCCAATGCTGCAAAAGGTAGGTAGATGTTCTATTTTTAGCACCAGGAATGTGATGAGGGACTATTTAGCATTGTTGTGGGTATATATATATATAGATATATATAGTCGCCCACACGTCTCCTAGTCATCTATCCTCACCTACAACACGCACACAGGAAAGACGGCGAACCGTTTGAGTTGAGTGCGCCGTTGGTGTTGGATGGTGCCGTGATCACACGCACAGACACCACTGAAATGAACAGGAGTAGCTATCAGGAGAAGACGAACAAACCCACACCACCTAGTAAGTACAACACGTGGGATATAAAGACATACATGAGTGTGCACGTGTATGTAGACATACATGTGTGTGCACGTGTATATAGACATACATGTGTGTGCACGTGTATATAAACATGCATGAGTGGGACGTGTATATACATAACACAACCCAACCCGCACCTTAGTGTGTAGTACAGTTGTTGTATTGCACCTACCACCCACCCACTACATATAGTGTGTGTCAGTTGTTTACTTAAGTATAGTGTGTGTCAGTTGTTCATGTCAGTATAGTGTCTGTCACTTGTTCACTTTGGTATAGTGTATGTTCTGTGGTACAGCAATTCGTCAGCCGTATCACCTCTGTGGTATACATTCAGTGCTAAAACCCAAACCCTAAACCCTGAATTATATACTCTGAAACAGTCCCGTTATCGCCGTTACAAGCAGCGTCTCGGTATTCGGTAGGGAATTCCACTTCGCTGAATTCTCTGCAGAATGAGTGGCTGCACAACACGTCATTGCCCAATGAGATGGCCCGTATGAATCTATCGGCGAATAGGAATCGAAGTTTAGGTACGATCTATTAATAGAACCCAATGAGATGGACCGTAGCTATATTTGAATAGTAAAGACCGGTAGCTAGTTAGGAATCTATAAATAGCAAGTAAGTAGATAGATGTGACTATCGTCCCCTAGTAAGAATCTTTGTCCAGGTATACATATATATATATATATATATATATGTATATGTATATGTATATGTATATATCTATATATAAGTATATGTATTGTATATGTATACGTATATATATATATATATATATGTCTGTATGTATACNTAAAAAATATACACATACATATACATAT